AGGGAGCCTCGCAGAGCAGCAGGATGAAGGCGTTCATGCTGGAGGGCGGGGAGAGAGGCTGGTGGGCTGACAGGGTCGGGGAGGGGCGCCCCAATGCCCACCGGAGTGCCGCTCCCCCTCCCCCAGCTCCCCCTCAGCGCCTCTGCGGAGCCGCTCCCCACCCGAGGACCAGAGCCTTCCCTTCACCCCTCCTGTCTCGGAAGGTGCCCCTCAGCTCTGGCCGCCCCTCGGCCACCCCGTTACCGCCACGGTCACCGACATCGTCGTCTGCGCGGGGAAAGCTGTCCCCGGCAGCGGCTCACCCATCAGGACGGCCAGGAGGAGGTCATCAGCCCACAGCAGTCACTGGGGGCTGACCCCTGGGAAGCCCACACGGGGAGGAGGGCACCTAGCAAGCCCCGTACCCTGCCCCTCCTTCCTGTGTTCCGGCTGGGGACAGCGAAGCCACGGAGACAGACCGAGGGGGTCTGCTCCAGTCTTTGTTCTCCACGGCTGGGTCACGGTCACAGACGCCGGGCCCTCAAAGAATGCCACAGCAAGCCTGCGTCCACCCCAAGCCTCGGAGGAAAGTGCCCTCATTACCTACCAGGGACAGAACCCAAGCTGAGGTGCCCCGGGAGCCCACCCTGAGCCCAGAGCAGGGACTCTGCACAACTCACACGCCCCCTGCTACAGGCCAGTCCCCCCAACCCCCCCACATCCAGGCCGGCCGGTCTCCTGACTGCCTCTGGCCAGCACAGGCCTCCGGGCCCCGGCCCCGCTCCCACAGGCCTTACCACTGGCCTGAGTTCCCTGAGGGCAGGGTCCCACCCTGTCCGCCTCTGTGTCCCTCCCAGGCCAAGCCCCACGTGGGCACCGACGATGCTTGGTGCACAGCCACTTGTCACGCGCAGAGTGGCTCAGGCACGGCCAGAGTTTCACTGGCTGATTCTCACCCCACCCCCTCCGCCTTCCCTTCCAACGGGGATCGGGCTACCCAGGCAGGAGGGGGGCAGGGAACTCACCTGGGCCCTTCTAGCCCCTGGTCCCACACCAGCTCTAACCTGCCCCGTCTGGCTTGCCCACCTCCGACCTGGAGCTCCCAGCACCTGACTCCAATCCCACCAGACACCAAGCCTCCACCAAGCCTCCTCCAGCAACCCTGATGGCCCCCGAGCTCCCACAGGCCAGGCCCCTGGTAGCAGACACAGTGCCTGCAGAGTCTCACTCCGTGGACACTCGGGAGGCATTTGTGACCCCGGCCCTAAACCCAATGGAGGCCTGGGTGAGTGTCCCCCCCCCCTGGCCTGGCCCTAATGAGAATCAGGACAAGTGAACACGGCAGGGTGGAAAGGAGGTGAAGACCCCCGCGAGGCGACCAGAAATCCACGTGCCCGCAGCCCCATGGGGCAGGACAGTCACGGGGCTACTCACATCATCCACACGCCGGCCGCGATGTTCAGAGGGTGGATGGTGACGCAGTTGAAGAGGCCCGAGATGGCGCAGGCTTGGAAGCAGACAGGAGCCGGAATTAGCAGGCAGGAAGGGACAGAGCCTGCCAGGGAAGACCCCTGGCAGACCCCTTCCGACACCCAGCACTGCACGCTGCCATCTGAGACAAGCGAGGTCCCTGTAAGTCCCCCACGTCGTGGGTGAGGACCCAGACTGGGAGAGGCGAGGCAGCTTGGCCCAGACCCCGCGGCAAGGGTGCGGCCGGCTGCGAGGGCATCTCACCCTGTCTCCAGCCCAGGGCCTGGAGGGCCGGCCTCCGCACCCCAGCTGTACCAATACCCGCCGCAAGGCATCGAACGTGAAAAAAGAGGATCTCAGGCCTCAGGTTCAGGCAGGCGTCACCATTCACAGGGCTGGCCACACAAGAAGCCTCTGACGCCAAAAACGAGGCTTGGATTTTGCTGGGGCGAGGCCTGCTGCCCCTCCGGGAACAAAAATTGGGACCAGGAAGACCTGGGTCACAATCCCAGCTGTGACCTGCACACCAGCTGAAGAACCTTGGGGACGTCCTCGTCACTTTTTGAGGCCTGTTTTGTCCCCTGAGTGCGGGCAAGTGCCACAGCCCGGCCCAGCCACCCCTGAAACACCAGGCCCTGGAAGTGGCTTCTCCGGGGTCCCAAGTGTGGAGCCTCACCCAGCGCTCCCAACCGCACCCCGAGGGGTGGGTGTGCCACACTCCCCTAGCTTCTCCCTACAGCCAGCAGCCCAGCTTCACCAAGAACCGGGCGGTTCCCAGGCACAGGCTCCCAGCTGGAAGCAAAGCCCTGCCCAGGGCCATAGCTGGGGTGGGACTGGAAGCTGGGCCCCGAGGCAGCAATCAGCAGCCAGTCCATTAAACTTGCAGCAGCTCGCCTGGCACCTGATCCCTGCCTGGGCCTGGAATTCTCCTGCTGTTCTCCCGGGTAACCCTATACGGGCTGCAGGGGGAGGATGAAACCAGACGAAGTGAACCCAGACTGCAGGGGGCCTGCCCTCATGTGGTCCCAAGGTCTCCTAGAGGGACGGAGGTCCTTTCTGCCTACTAGCGGCACTCAGCCTGGACACGTCCCATTAGCCTCCAGGCAGCAAGGTTCCCCGGAGACACAGAACACAGACCTGAGTGCCCACAAGACAATGCCCCTGCTGAGTCAGTACTTCTCCTCCAGCTCTGACCCTGCCCCCACTGTCCCACCAACAGCCCACCTTAGGGGAGGACTAGGTTTCAACCCAGGAAGAAGGCTGCAGCAAGGAGTCCTTTAACAATCCAGCCCGGAGGGTGTCTCACCCCTTGGAGATCCGGACGTTCTGCCTAAAGTGACCAGCTGGAAGCACAGCCCTCATCTGAATTCCTGTTTCATCACTCAAACTTTTTTAAGATTTTATTTTTAAGTAATCTCTACACCCAATGTGGAGCTTGGACTCACAACTCCAAGATCAAGAGTCGCAGGCTCTACTGACTCAGCCAGCGGGGCGCCCCGCATCGCATCCCTAAAACTCTTGCCTTGCACCCCACCCTGCGATCTCCTATTTGGTACTTGCATAACAATCACCTCCCCCCAAATACTCAGGTGAAACCGACCCAAGTTTCTCCTGATGCTTCTGGAGTAGCCCCAACACCATGAACTCCTGGGGCGGCCCAGGTACCTCACTTTAAGAAGCACAGAACGGGATGGGAGACCAGGGTTAACCCGGGAGCCAGCAGGGCTGCTGAATCCAAGGCAGAGGGAGGGTGAGGGCCCAGAGGCCACAGGCAGAACCTTTCCTTTCTCCACCACTGGCCCCCTCACCCCCTACAGGACCCCCACTCTAGCCTGCAAGGAAAACAACTAGCCACACTTGAGAGGATCCTATCTAAAGCCTGATCCCGAGCCGCCAGTCTCTCCTACAAAGTCAAAAAGATGCTTGCTCTGACAGCAGTGACAGGGACTCAGGGGCCTTTTTGGGATCTGCAGAAGGGCCTGTCCCATGATCACCTCTGGATAAGGGTGTGCCCTTCTGCACAGCACACGCCTAACCCTGCACCCCTGAACTTCCTTCCAGCACCCAGCCACCTGGGACGACTGTGGGACAGGCAGGGGACCCTGAGCAGTGTTCCCTCCGGCCGACTTGATCAGGATCTGCCCTGCTCCCGCCCTCTGTGCCAAGCGGGCACCGTTCAAACCCACTCCAGTGATTCCCAAAGGTGAGGGCCGCAGGACAGGACAGCAGACCATTCGAACAGACCAGACACGTATTTGCCACATGAGCTTCATTTTACTCCTGCAGCAGGTCTGCCTTCCTAGCGGTGTTCCTTGGGCGGGGTGCTAAAAGAGCCTGGCTTCCGTGCAACTTGAGGTCAAGATGTGTGTCGGGATGGCGCTGGGGGGATATGAAGAGGGGAGAGGAGCGGTGGCCGACGCAGAGTCGACAGCAGAGGGAATGCACTGGCCTCGGAGTGGACAGTGAGGACCCAGATGCTCACTGCCCGGCCCTCCCTCGAGGACTACTTGTGCCCGGGCACCACCCGCCCATGTTTAAACAGCCTTGGCCCAAAGGTTAAGGGGGCCTCCGCCCGCGCCAACAGGTGAGGCTGCCTCCCGGCCGGGCAGTGCTGCGCTCTCCCGGCAACATACGGGAGGTCTCGGAAAGCCCCCGGGGCAGAGGCCGCACGCACCGTCCCGGCGCTCAGATGCGGCGCGGGGGGGCAGTAACTCGGCCACGGTAGTTCACGTTCCCTCCTGGAATGTCCCCAGCGCCGCCAGCCCAGCCGCGGGCCCCGCGGGAGCCCGGGCCGCGGGGCCGGGGCCATAGCAACCGCCAGGGCGTCCGCTCCGCGCGCGCCCACCCACCGCAGACCGCCCCCCGCCCCACCAGCCCTTCCCCGCGGGGGCGCGCCGGAGGGGCGGGGCCGAACACGCATGCGCGGTGGGCGGCGAGGCCGACCCCTCCCCCGGGCCGGGTACTCACAGACGGCCCCCAGCACCCCCGACAGGCGACACAGCCAGCGGTACCACCACGTCATGCCCTCCTCCTGCGCGGGCGGCGCGGAGCCGACGGACGCTGTCGACGCCCCGCCCGAGCCGCTCATGGTGCCGCTGTCTGGCGCAGCCCGCCACGCTCACAAAGGGCTCCGGAGCCGGCCGCGTTGGCCCGGCGCGCTGCCTTGTGGGAGAGGCGGCCGCTCATTAGCATAAGGGGCGTGGCTCGCAGGGCGGTGGCGGGTGCGCCCGAGGGTCTCGCGCTGATCAGCATAGGGGGCGGGGCCTGGCGGCACCCGCCCCCCCGGGTGGTCAGGTCTTCCCAGCCGGACCAGCACAGGGGCGGGGCCTCGCAGAGAATTAACGAGTGTGCCAGCGTGGGGGCTCGTTCTCGACCCCACGCTCCCTCGTCCCTCCTTCTTGGGTAGAGAAAAAGAAGACCGCCACGGGTGGCGTGGGGCTTGTTCAGCTCAGTATTGGGTCTAGAGCCCTGCCGCTGCCAGGGAATTCCGGCAATGCCCTGGGGTGGGTTTTCAAGGCAGATTGGACAGGTTATGTGAAGAAAAACGCTACTCAGACTGCACATTCCGTTTATTGGTACAGAGGGACTTGGTGACTGCCTTTCCAGACAGAGTCCAGACCCTGCCTCCCGCCGCCTAGCCTTTTGCATGTTGGAGGAGGCCCTAAAGGAGATACTTAAGATTGGACGGAATTCAAATTGGAAAGCACTCAGAGACCAGAGTCAACCCTCTGGGGCTTGCCAGGCACCTAACAGGTGCTCATAAATGTCAAGTTCGTTTCTTTCCTTTCCAGAACCTGGAGGAGACATCCTACTGTGCACGCAGGGCACTGGAGGTTTGTGCTTGGAGAGGAAGCTAGGGTACGGCCCAGCCAGGTTCTTGCACTCGAGATCCGAGGGTCCAGTACAGGCCCCACAGGCTAGCGCCCGCCTCCATGAAGCCCTGGCTAAACTCCATCTCAGCCTGGCTTCCCTCGGACTCCCAGTAGAGTGCCTGCTGCCCACGGAATGTCATCGTCTTCAGGCTGTGGATGTCCCGGATCTGAGGGGAAAGGGGCAGCCCCAGAGGGCCGGCCAAAAACGATAGCTAGCATTTATGGTGCCTTTAATGTACAAGGGACCATACACTCAGGGCCACACACTTAATCCTCACACAACAGCCCTGTCAGGAAGCCACTACTATTCTACCCAGGAAACAGGTTCAGAGAAGTTGTATTACTTCCCCAAGGACACACAGCCAGGATGTGAGAGATGGGTTCTGAGCCCAGGTCTGTCTAATTCCAGAAGCCAGGTTGCCTCCAGCAGGGGAGCTGACACTTTGCAGAGGGCAGTTCTCCCAGAACACACAGACCTCATGGGAGGAGGGTTTGATCCACTCTTCTGGAAAAGTTATATCAGGATCTAAAACCATGCTTGAGTTCTGGGTTAACTGTCTACATCAGAAAAGGTCTTGTCTATTTCACTCCTGTGGGGAGCTCAGTAAACATCTGTTGGTGAGTAAGTGGAGGAAACTCTTCTCTCTCATTCTTTCACAAATGATTTTGAGGTTTGGGGGCAAAGTGGGTACAGCACCCCCAGTTCTCATCCCCAGGGACAGCTGTCTAGACTCATAGCAAAAGTCAACCCATTCTTGTCCCCATCCTGGTAGCCTTACCAAGATGTGGCTGGCATCAGTGCCTGTGCCCACGCCGGTGACCAGGGCATGGATGGCAATGCGGGCCCGTGGAGCCACATTGATGAAGATGCGGCAGCCCCCCAGGCTCCTCCCACGTGGACTCATCGAGGGGCTCACGATTTTACCCCAGGGTCCAAACAGCTGCATATCACACTCTGCAGAGGAGAGCAGGTGGATGGGCTGGGTGTGGGCCACTTCAGGACCTAGCAGCCCTGGGAAAGACCACTAATGCCAGAGGCCAGGGCGGCTCACAGCCAGGGGGCAGTGAAGGGGGGCAATATGGCATTGTGGTCAAGATCGGGTCTCCGCCACAGAAGCCCTCGCCGAACCCCACCTGTACCACTTTCTGCTGTGAGACCCTAGGCGAAGGCGTTAAATGCTCTGAGCTTCAGTTCCCTCCTCTGTAAAGTGAAGGTAACTGTCACAAAGGCCATTGACATTAGGAGCCCACGGGAGCCCCGCCTGCCTGTGCCTCCTGCCCGTGCCCCTGGTGAGGCAAGAGCCCATGTGCGGGAGGGAGGCCAGAAGAGAGGAGCCTGGGAAGGGGCGGCCCGCCCTTGAGCACTCAATGCCTGTGCTCAGGCACCAAAAAGCTACTCGCTGAGGGGCGGGGGGGGGGGGGGG